CGTATGGTTCGTTGCTTCTTCCGCACACGCTTCTAATTTTCTCTCGTTACTCTCTCCAACTCGATAAAAGATAAAAAAAAAAAAAAAAAAAAAAAATTTGAAAAAATTTCTTGCCTCGCGGAAAGTGAGATGTGAAATGTCGTTCGCATATAAATGAACTCTTAATTGGATCTATGTATTTAACGGATCGGTTTCTCTTTCTCTTTCGGCTTCTCTCTCGTCCGGTTGTATATTTCACACTTACTTTATATTTATAGACATATTTTTCTAATCAAAACAAATAAAAGTATCGGATCATTAAGTTTGACCCGATATATATAATTTTTTATTTATATTTATTTGTAGCGCATTTTTTTTTTTAAATTAGATCTCTTTAATTCACATCTATACTCGACGTGAATCACTCCGGTAATACATCCGGAATTACGAGATAATATATCCGAAACTCTCTCTCTCTCTCTGTCTCTGTTTATCAGATGCATCGACGTTACGTACACACATCGAGCCCGGATACAAATATAGTTGTCCCAGATTCTGGGGCGTGCACACGCCGCTGGCGAACCTCGGCGATTTTTCACGTTCCTTTTTCCGCCGCGAGGAACGAGGGAGGAGACCCGTTACTCCCGAGAGAGCAAGCACGTTACTTCTCCCGAAAGGAATTGCTTCAACAAAGAAACGGGGGGAGAGGGGGGAGGGGGGATCTCGGCCCGCGTACTCGAGAAGAAGGAAGGTGGGTATCGTGGTTCGTCTTTGAAACGAGGCGCTTTCTCCGTTACGAGCAAGCCATCGATCGCGGTCCATTATTCGATTGCCGCACAGAAACGTGTACACGCGACGACGGGAAGGGGAGGGGAGACGACATTGAATTAACGACGAAACGTGTCGATATCGTTAACTCGCCGAGTATCGATTTATTTAACGCACACATATATAGCCGCGGCTCTTATTTACCCCGCCGATATGACACGGCACACTATGATGTTTCTCCTCATCTTCATTTTGCTCCACTGCCGGACATCCGGCGAAAGTGAGGAGAGGAGACTTTCTTCACTCGGTCAACAAGAGAAAAAGCCCAATCGTTTGCCGTTAATATTCCAGTCGCGGTCGTATTTAAAATCGATTTTCTTCGCCGCGCGTCGCGGGAATTTGCTTCCCCGATTATTGGGAAGGGAACAAAATTGGAGAGATTTCTGAAATTTGATTTCTACACGATGCGGGAATCGGAAATGAATCCTGACATCGCGCTGGAGCGAGCATATGCAATCTCATCTGAATATCGAATATCGAATACGGGAAATTCAAGGATTCGGATGTGTTCTTTACACGCGCGAGAGACCGCGGGGAGAGAATTTGTGTGTGTGTGTGTGTGTGTATTTTCAAGAAATTTATTTTAGAAGTACAAGTATGAATATATTTACCCCGTCGGAGAAAAACAGAATGCCATTTTTCAGGGGTTTTAAAAGCTTGACAGATTTGTTTATGACACGCGGCAGTTCTTGAATTCGCATTTTTACACGTCGCCGACACACAGATCCCCCACGCTCTCACGTACACGTGTTTTTATAATTCAGAGCATCATACTTAATCATCGCTCATCCATTTGCGTCCGAGGATATAATTACTGGACTTCGTTAATATATATATATATATGTATACACACACACACACACACACACACACACACACACACATATATATATATATATATGTATAATAGCACAAGCTGAACATGTACACACAGCATGATTCATTGTCGGATAAGAGAAAAATTTCGCGAGAGCGTAACGCGCGGTTCCATGGAAAGCGCGTTACGAGGCGTGTCGGCGGAATATGAAATTTTGTATTCGCCCACGGTTGAAGCTTATCCTCGCTTCTATTAAATGTAATATCGCGTGCGCGCCGCATCGGGGATTATGTAGATTTATATCATGAGAGAGAGCTGAGCGAAAGAAAAATACGTTTCGTAACAGCCAGGTTCTTATTACCGGGACGTAAAATTCAGAAGCACAAGCGTTGAGAGCATTAAGGGAGATATCGCACACATCCCCATGATGATGAGTTATAATGAGGTTGTTTCTTTTTTTTTGTCAAGCATAATTTTCCCGAATCAAGTTTCCGCCGAAAAATGTGCACACACGAAAAAAAAAAAAAAAAAAAGACTCGCGAAATGAAACGTTTGGTAAAATCTTGGAGAAATGTTTTGATATGCAACTTTTCTGGAGAGTCTCCGTGGAATTTCCCGAGGTTTTTTTATGGAACAAAATTTCCCAAGATTTTCAAGTTTACTGCAGTTTGTTAGATAAAAAAAAAAAAACGAATACTTATATAGTGGTTTAAAAAAAATGTAAACGCAATTAGTCTCTCTCGTTGCATTTATATTACTTATACATTTTTAATTCGACGTGCGCATAGTCGGTGGTGTGTGTAAATCACACATCGCGCGCGTATAACAATAATAATAATAAATTCTCATGATTTCCTTCGAGAATCATACCGGCGTGTCAAATTCCAACGTTATCTGATATTCTTTAACAAGCTCGAAATTAGTTCATCCACGCGGATAAACCCATATTTGTGAGAAGAGCCGGGGGACGAAGGAAGACAGAGCTCCGCGTTAACCGGAGCCGCCAATTAATTAAATACAATTGCGCAAAACAGTAAAGTAGTCGGTGCCGACGATGCAACGAACTGGCCGGCAACGAGTGGTAGTTTTGCGGATCTCTCGCTTAAAACTTTTGTCCCACATTCCGTGTGACGTTTTTTTTTTTTGGTTTGCATTCGTCATCAGCACATGTGGCGAAGCAGGATGTTGCAATTGACCGGCAAAAACCTTTTGTTGCTGACAATTCGGTGTCGTTTGTTTTTATTTTTATCGCTACGTTTGTTTATTATTTTCAGTAACTTAACTCTCTCTCCAATGTTTATATACATTCTATTTATAAAGATTACATAAAAAAAAGTTTTTATACCGTTTTATCATTATGATCTCGCGATGAGTAATTTTATTCTCAAAAAGCTTTCTCCCGTTTTCTTCTTCTGATTAAAATTTCAGAACACAAAATTAATTTTATGGAAAATATTTCCCGCTTCTCTCCGGATTGAGAAATCAATCAATTTTTGTTGACCGAATAATTCGCGTAAAAGTCGCCGCTTTCACACCAAGAGGCGATGCAATCTCACTGATTTCGAACAAAGTTATAATTAAGACGAATAATTCAGAAACTTTCGCAATTTGTGTTAAACACTGGAAACGGAAATCCGATTATCGTCGATTTCAACCGATAAAATTATCTCTACCTAATTGTTGCGCGATTAATCCCATTCAACATAACAACACGCAACGTTTCACGTTTTTATCTCTCTCTCTCTCTCTCTCTTTTCTCATTTTTGCAACGGAGAGATATAAGTGAAAATACTGCTCTCTAGTCGCGGCAACATTATGCTAGACACCGGAATTAGACGATTAACGCGAAAAACTTGGAGGATATTTCTCGGGGGCTCGGCTCCCGCGAGCGCTTCGTGAGACTCCGTCGCAATTCAACGTATTCTGGATGGTTCCATCAGCTTTCCATTTTTTTTTTCCTCCATCCTTCCTGCTTTTTTTCCTCGCGTCGCAATGTTTGAATTATAAAAGCGGAAACGCTCGCGCGTGTAGTTTCAGCGGTGGGTTATACACACCGACAACCACGTAGGCTATCATTCGCCGTGTATGTGTGTGTTTACAACGAGACGTTTCTATTAAACATGCAGACGGCAGACCGGAGTGAGTCACCCTCAACGATCGATTTCGGTTAAGCCGTTACACCTGCCTATATCCTTCCCGTTCCACGCGCGATGGCGACGAACAGGTACGAGCTAGAGAATGAGAGAGAGAGAAAGAGAGAGAGAGAGAGAGATATGGAGATAGAGCGCAGACACCCGCGGAGATTCCTAATTTCCGTGGGGCCGGAAGTCCCGAACGTGGAATCGAACAAACCTTCCCGTAAATAGACAAGAGCTACGATCGGTTCTCCCCGTTACACAAACGGAAATTATTTCTTATCGTGATAACGCTAATTCTCTTCTGTCCTTCCCCTCCTCTCCGACATGATTTAATCCATTTAGAATGTTCCGGTCCAATTACATTGCGAATATTGCTGGAAATGCAGTAATACAAAGAGACATCTTTGTGTGGAAAGCTAAATAGATAATGTGACTCGAGGGTTTCGGTTGGAAAATAAAATCGAAATTAAATTGCTTTTTTTTTCTCGCGCGCGCGTACGTACAGCAAAATCGATAATTTCATAAGTGTGAAATCGAGCTTTTCCACAAACAAGTTTGGTCTCTTCAAGAAAGTGGCGCAATAAATGTTTTATCGCTCCTCGAGAAACTTCGATAACGTTTCTCATCATATACTATATATATAGTACAGGCTATTTCTCCTCACATGGTGAATCTCAAATTGATTCCACACAGAGGACGCAATCTGGAACATTACCGGGTTTAATTACGTTTGCGAACGTTGCTACCGAGTATAGCGGAAAATTATATGTAACAGACGGCCAATAGATATTGATGCGCCCGCGGCGTAATGAGACTCTCTTCAAGTTCCGAACTTTTTTTTCGAATTAAAATTACACGACAGCAAGTCTCTCTCCGTAACACACAGATATGTCGCCGTAAAATCGATCGTTCTACAAGCCAACTATATAAGTATGATATCGCATACCCGTGAAATCGATCCGGTGAGCGGAAAATACTGAAAACAAAAGACAGCGCTAAAAAAAAAAAAAAAAACTAAAAACTAAAAACGTGCGCGGCAACGAGAAAATATTATCTTCGTTCTAGCGCGGCAACGCGAGGTCGCGATTTAAACAGCTGATTTATGCGCGGCAACGCGAACAAGATCGGCATTCGCCGCGCTCTGTATAAGGCGGAACCTTGGACGAGACAAGGACACGCGCGATAAAATTATCTTAATTCGCAATGGAGGGAGCGAAGGCGATTTTCTTCATTACAATCGCAATGTGGTAATTTATTTTCTCACCATATTAACGCGACGTGAGAAAATGACATCAATTACGTCCTTCCCCCTCCCCCCACATCTTGCGAATCGCACGACCTGTATGCGTGTGTACGTACGATCGTAAATTTTACGTCACGTATCGTAGACCACTGAAACGGCGATAATGTTGTTCTTTATGTGCCATTCGATACGTCAAGAGCCGCAAAGTGAATGGCCGAGAACACCGCCAAGCGGTGTTATAGAGGTTGAATGAATCCTCGATGCCCTCTCTTCGCCTTGCGACGCCCGATAATATTACGCTCGGCTCGAGAGATCGATTAACGATAGACGGCTGTTCGCGGAAAAGCGGTTTAACACACCGCTTGAATAAGGGAGGGGGGGAGGGAGGAGGAGAGGATTGCGCCAAGTATGTACTTACAACTTTCGACGGGGTGTGCACTTTGTACGTGCCCTGATGCTGGTGGCGTTCCTGATAGCCGACCGGAATTAGATCGGTGTTCAACCGAAGGTCGAGAATGCGATTCACGCCGTCCACGTTGAAACCCACCGTCAGCACGTCCGCGTGCTCGGTATCCTGAAAAGAGAGAGAAAAATATCGATTTTATGAAAAGATTACCGGCCAGGATTTGTCTTAGTCTCTATTTAAGCGCGAAATTTTGCACGAATTTTCTTTCGTGTAACTGCGAAAACATTTTGTGAGATTATTGCGCGTGAGATAGCGCGTCTATATAAATGAGAAATATGTGTATCGAATATATGAGACGAACATTAATCAAATCAGTATCAGGCTGCTCTTCAAACCCTGATGAAGTGAGCTGTAATGTTCACGAAACGTCGGTACAAAAATGACACTAACGCGGTTCAAACCCGAAAAAACATCTTTGTATATTAATTAAATCCGTTTGCGGTAAGTTACTCGAAAGAAAAAAAACTGAAACGAAATTAATTTTGAAACTAAGAATGAAAAGGCCAATACGAGCCGTTCCCAGGATGTTGTGCAGGAATAAGCGTGCATGTACGAGTATACTCGTATATATATATACACATGTATGAATTCACATGTAAATTATTTTTTGAATTGAAATTTCAATTCCTAAAATCATATAGGATGCTAGATTTGCATCTCATATATGAGAGATCACAGATACTCCTCCAACTAATTTGAAAATATTGCAAAAAAAAACTCCATCATGAAATTAATTTTGTTTTACAAAGCATAACAAAAAAACTATTGTACAAATCTAAAGCATTGATTAAAAATAACATTTCGAAGAAAAGGTACACCGAAAAAATTATATTCTCGTAAGTAGAAGATTTTATACTTAAAAAATCTTCTTACAGATTTTAGATGATATTCTTCTGAAATTAAGAATATATTCTTTATTTAAGAATATAGTCTTTTTCGATAGTGAGATATATATGTTTTTCTATAGAGGCTTTTTATATTCTAATCAGTATATATTCTCATCAATATTACTATTTAGAGGATTTTCCTCTTAAAATAAGAAACTCTTCTTGGCGCCTATTTTAGTATAAAATATACTTAAAGTAAGTGGGATATCCTCAAAACAAGAATACAATTTTTTCGGTGTATCTACAATTTGTATTTGAAATGTAAATTAATATGATTTAATTTTATTTTATCTTAACTTTGAGAGAACGATTTGTTATTACATATATCAACGCGACTCCGATAACGATCGGAAATTGTCACGGCCGATTCTTTATTGTCGAAAAGTCGGAACTCAATCGCGACACCTGTTGCATTAATAGCGCCACCAAAACCATGCTTAGAGAAAAGAAAATTTCTCTCGTGAAAATTCAGTTCTCGAGATCGTTGCATCCAGCAGCTGCAATTAACTTTACACTCGAATGGCTTAGCTTTCTCTGACGTGATGAAACCAAGTGACTGGGTATCAAACAAGCCGAGAATATCGTCGTCTTCGTGTTAAAACAGGAAACCGGAAGACGTCGATGGGAGTTTTATTCACAATGAGAGCAAGAATATAAAACAGCGGAAAAATTAAAAATCTCGAGTATAATAGCGTAGAAATTGTCAAAAGTGAAATTAGACAAGCGCTTGGCGCGCACGCGTAAATGTTATATGTAAAACTGCACAGTTCTTTCAATAATAATTTTTATTTAATTAATAAATAGAGAATCCTCTTGGGCTCTTAGGTTTCTAAACTAATAAATATATGTGTATACGAGCAATAAGAGCCATTCGCAGGATATTGTGCAGAAAATATGCGTAGATATATACAGGATAAATGGGGGTATTATGGCCATATGGAAAAGATGGTAGACTGTAATTTCATCAATAATTGTTTAATAGTGCATTTTTGTAGCCATTCTTAAAGATAATCAGTATTTACAGTAGTTTATGTGCGTACACTATTTAAAATAACAATATTGTGAAAATTATATAATATTTTTACTTTCGATTGCCTGCAAAGTTTTACGTATGTCCACTAAAAGCTGCTGTAACGTCGAATAAATTACAGTTAAACTGCCGTAATCAAAATTACATACATAATAAAGGTATATAAATTGTAATATAACCAATAATTTGTATTTTCATTTTCATTATTTATTTATAAATACTATGTTATCTTTTTCTCACACTTCGGGAAAGATGGACCATTGTTTTTAAAAAAGTTACATATAATTATACATATATATATATCTTTTTATGACTAGTATAATCTACAATATGTAATCATCGAAATAAAAATGTTTTTTTTGCTAATTGTTTTTATGGTTCACATAAAGTTGCGTTTCATAATTAAAAAAATACTGTGCATGAAAACGTTAACAACAATATGTAATAATCTTTTACGTATAATATAAATATATCGTATTTAACACATAATTACTAAATATATAATTAAATTACATAATTATAAGTTTTACTTATATCTTTTACAAAAGAAACATGTATGGCCATCTTTCCCTTAAAAGTTGGGTAAGATTGCCAATACATTTTTAATATTTTATATAATATTAACCTTTTCGCTCCGGGACTGGTCCGTATATGGACCAGCAAGAAAAACGAACGTAATAGATGTTTATAAGGTCAATTTAATGCACTAAATTTAGGAAAAAAATTGAAAAAAATCCTGGTCACTTCTTTGACCTTCAAAATTAACTTTGAAGGGGGGGGGTAGCAGGTTATTATTAACTTTTTCAGCTAAAATGCGAGGTCAATTTTAAAGGAAAAATCCCCGGAGCGAAAAGGTTAAATTTCTGTTAAGTGTTTTCTCTTTAATTTCGATAGTTATTATTACTTTAAGCTTCAGTGAAGTAAAATAAAAAAACAATATTAAAAAATAACAAAAATCAAGGTCTGTTTTTTGCATTTAAAGAAAACTGTGGCCATCTTATCCGGGGTTTACCCTACATATAATAGTAAGGAAGTGGCCAATTCGAGGCAATAACCAGATCTTCGTCTCAATATACTTCTTTATTTTAAAAAAGTTGACAAACGTTCCGACCCTAATTTGGATCTTATTCAGTGTACTACATATAATAATTACACGTATAATAATTATAGATTATATTAAACAAATAAGAGTCCAACGCAAGGGGTTGATAACGCGTATTTCAAATTACAAGATTTAACACTTACCGTACTTATATACATATATATATGTTCACGTGTAAATAATAATAATTTTTATCTTTATTGTTTAGCAATAAAAAAAAAAACAAAACCGATCGAACAATCTCACGATATCTGAGTTACGGAAGATAACGTAAAAATATATATAATTTATTTTTCTGCATATTGAAATTCTGAGCTAGTTTAAATCGCGACGCAAACGAATGCACGAATTCAATCTGTAACCATGTGCAAATTCATCAATGATGCGACCAACTGTGCGTCGCGTTTGTCGTTTGCGGCACACGATTAACCCAATTCTGTCATACCGCCGAGTGCGAAAAGCAGTTAGAGCAGTTATTAAATTACGATTGCGAAGCTCAAAATTCATAAACTCACCCGGCAAAATTTCTCTTCCCCCCTTTTCCCCGCCACTTCTCGGAGAGGATCGTACGCGTGGCGAGTGCGAAATGAATTTGCAAATCTCGTTTGCGCCGGAGCGCGCGCACGCGATGTTTAATTCATGGGAGAGGGATATATGTATCGGGCGTACTCTTTTCCCGCGAAAAGCTCTCTCTCGGTGGAGAGAAACGGAGGGTTCGGGTTGTGCCGCGCGATACCTGGCTGCGCAAAAGTGTGACGCCGGCGCTAAAAGCGGCAAACAGTCGGCTCGATAACAAGCTCGTTAATTTCAAACGACGACAGCTCGGATGGATTTTTAGCCGGGCGGGCGCGCGCGCGCGCTTACATCACCGGAAATTAAATTTCAATCTGTTCGCAAGGTGTGCCGATAAACAGGTCAGATTCGAAAATAGAAACATGCTTTCAATCAGCATAGATAATTGTCGACGCCGAATAATTTGGGAGAGAGTTTGTTGTTTTCTTTATTTAAACAAACATTTGTTTTTTTTCTCTGTCTTCGAAAAAAAAATTTATTATATATTTAGTAATTATATATTTAGTAATTATATATATTTAGTAATTATATATTTAGTAATTATATGTTAAAAAACAATAAATTGTTTTTTCGAAGACCGTGTTTTTCGAAAAGAAAAAACACAAAATTTTTGTCCGTGCGATTTTTCCTTTCGCTGTGATACGCGGTCGCGTCTTGTGTACGTAGCGAAGTGTGTGATTGTGAGAAAAAGAGACAAAAAGGGAGTTCTAGCCGGAGTTTAGTTAATCAAGAGCCGTCGCTGCGACCGACGTTGCGCAAGCTTGCCCTGGGACCGCGAGCGATCCTTCGGGGCTGCGTTTTATGTCGAGTTTACGTTCTGTGCAATGCAACGTCGAAAAGAGTGTAAAAGAGAGAAACTCTCGCTCTTTAACATTCTTCTCATTTAATACTAACCATCTTATCGTCGCCGGACAAGTCGAGCAGAAAGCGCGACTCTTAATTGCTCTCTAAGTGTCGTTTACAACTGAAATTGTGGACAATAATTACTGGCACAACGCAACAAGAAACACAACCGTGGAGGTTTTCAACGCTGTAAACACACGCGGAAGAAAACCCATAGACGTATAATATACAGACTGCGCGTTTAAGGCTGAAAAGATGTCTTCAACGTTGAGAGAGACAACATACTTTGAATAGTAACTCTTTCTCTGTCTATCAATGTCTGTGGTGGGATCAGGGCCTACTGTTTCATACCACCTATAACCTACCATCACCCCTTAATCTCTTTCACTCTTCTTCACCCCTACTATTTTTCTATCCCCACTTTTCCACTACTATTCTATCAATCAGCGAAGACTTCTTTTTCCCCCACTACTTCGCTAGACAAAGATGAGGTTACTGTTCAACACCAGCTGTCTCTCTCAACGTTGAAGACATTTTCTTAACCTTTTCGGGGATTTTTCCTTTAAAATTGACCTCGCATTTTAGCTGAAAAAGTTAATAATGACCTGCTACCCCCCCCTTCAAAGTTAATTTTGAAGGTCAAAGAAGTAACCAGGATTTTTTTCAATTTTTT